TAGTCAACAACATTCGTCTTTTGATTAGTCAAAATGATCTCTAATCTCTGTCTTTCCGAGAGGGCTCACTTCGAAACTGACTACGAAGGCATGGCAATCTTGGGGAGTTTATTCAGGACCATACTCCACTTCATCTTGCTTCCTTGAGCTTCCTTTGAAACATTTACATCCGGAATCTTTAGCGATATTTCAATCGGAAGTTTGAAATGATTACATTGTACGGATAACTTAGGCAAAATGCCAATCACAAATAAACCACCATGCAGTTAAAGATTTACCACGAGGCAGAGCAGTGTAAGGTGTTTAAAGAATTTCTTTAGAAGGACTGCTAATCTCCCTTTAATCTCGTCCATTAATTTCGTTACCTTTGTACTAGATAGGTAGGAAAGTATATATATGATCTGGATGGGTGCAGTCGTAGAAAAGGGTGAAAACTATTTTCCACTTCACGTGAAGTGTGGTAGGTGGTCGATTCCTACTTCAGTCAAACATAAGACCCGCCAATGGCCACCCTTGTTCCTTATGAAGAGCTTAACTTCTACAGTGGTGACAAATTCCGCCTAGACAGCTTAATTCGGCCCAAGTCCATCTTAGAGCAAGTGTCGAGGAATGAATCACATCGCCAAGACATAAGTGTGGACATTTCGACTGCCTCACTCGAGGAGTGCCCTTTGCAATGTTTGTAAGTCCCCATATCAGTTATTCTGAGCGTTGACCTTTCAATCTTGATGCAGCTTTTTCTGCTCGGCTTCAGCAGGACGTTTCACCCTTCTCAAAAGTTCATCTACTTTAAATTGACGATTTGTGTGGCCTTTTTGAAAAGAGGATGATCCCTTCTGAAACACTTGCCTAAGTTGTAGTGGTGAAAGTCTTCATTGAGTGCAAGCTTCATGTTAGAGGCTGAAACATTCAATAAGCTGTGACAACGAAACCCCAATTTCGTTTCCATGATTCTCCAACACTTCTTTCTGCTCTGCGAGAACAATCACATTAGATCAGTTCTGTTCAGATCCAATAGTGTGTTGTGCTACTTTCTTTAAGCCACATCCGTCTCGTAGACTCCATTAAAGGTATTCAGTCCATACTGGACTGCCATAATCTCCTCATTTTGATGGCTGGTTTATTTCTTCCATGATCCAGGTGGGTTCCAGTTAATAACAACTTTCGTTCTTAACGCACAAATGAATGAAGAATTGTTAAAACTGTTAGAGGATGTGGCAATGTGTGTGAACACTATTAATACGTCTAGAAAAACAATCAAATATCGGCCCGTAAAATTCACAATGGAGAAAATAGTACAACCAAAAGTGCTTGATATAGCTTCCGTAGGACGAATAAAAATAATTGTATGGAAGAGAAAACACTAGCTTCAAACCCCCTATCTAAATAGGAAAAAAAAGCATACATGAATGCATAATTGACAAATTCTATCACCAAGATCCCTTCACTTGCTTGTCTAAGCTGATGCGAAAGTTTAAATCAGACCTTTTCATCGTACAAAGGCATACAGACGTTGCTACTACGCTTTTCTAACGATTCATCAAATCTGTGGTCGATAATTAAGACTTTATACAGAGGAGTTAATAAAATGCTGACATACTTGTGAGATTTGAACATTTGCAAAAAGTGCTCGGGTTCAACACCGTTTTGTTCACAGATCATCACTTGTTCACGCATTGTCAGTGAGTACGTTCTTCGAAGCCTACAATTTAAAAAAAATAAAACATGAATTTAAGACTATAGTAAAATTGAAATACACCGAGATTTATCACAGTGAATATTGACTTAATTCATTTGCAAGGAAACCGGCTTCACTTCAATTTGAGCATGAGTAAGCACTTGACCTGCAAGTTGTTTACCTACATCAGAATTCCTGAGCTCGACTCTTCTATTTACCAACTTTTCATTTCAAAGGCCACCAGGCTGCAACATGCAATTTGGATTTTAAGTGACTGTCTACACATATCTGATTTGGTGAGGCTCGTAGAGACATTCAGAGACTATAAGATTTGCCAAAAACAAAATTACTAATTTGGATTACGCTACCCACGTGACTCATCACGGTAAAGCCAATTTAGCATTACGATTGAATGACTAAAACATCACATGAAACTTCACGCCTGCATCCAAGTGCGGAGGTACACGCCTAGGCGAATACAACCCACGCTGCGAAAGTATAAGTATTCCATGAGGAAAAACCAGCTACTATAGAACCAATTGCTTAATAGCTATAATTACTCCGATTTCACCCAAGTGTCCACTGAACTCATTCACACGAAAATCACTGAGATGGAGCAACAACTTTGAGCGATCATGCTTTCTATTCATCGTTAGAATTTCTCAGACTTGGCGATTTTGATAGTGAGTTAATTAAATTCACAGCCTTCAACAGATTTAGCTAAGCAGACAATCATTATATAACATTTATAAATAGGTTTTCTATAACAGATAGGCAAATTTATCTTAACACAAAGTAGAATAGGAACATTTTGCAGTAATTTTCAGGGAAAATATGCAAAAGCATGAGATTGAGCTACCGTCAAACGAATACTTTTGATTAATTTAATCCAGCAATGAGAATTCTTAGGAAATATAAAATTTATGTGCGAAACCATTAAGTAATCCGTAGAAAAAAACGAGAATTTTACCGAATTAGGCAATAAAATTGGTAACTAGGTTATAATTTACGAATAAAAAGGCTAAAAATCGAATGAACCGAAGAGAAGATTGAGTTCGACCCAGTTCGGAATTTAAAGTATATCCATTTCATAGAAATTACCTCCCTTAATTTTAAGTTTAGTAATAAGTTAATAAATCAGTAAGCCCCAGATATCAAAACACGAGCTTATTCGACTCCTTTCTCGACTAACTATTTAATAACAAATTCGTTCTTCTAACCACACATTTTATCTTATTAGACAAAGCACAGACATATCTTCTATATTCCTAAGTATTGTTGCTACATCTCTGTCTACTTTAGAGGCCTTAAAGTAGCAAATATGAGAATAAGAATACCCCCAAAACTTTGCCAGCGTCTTTAAGCTATAGTCCCTTCACAATGAATACAAATGCCTAGCAATCCAGCAATAAATGAATCAGAAATAACTGATAAACTTACACTTTCCAGACAAAATCACGAGTGAGAGCAATTACAGGCACGACAATTAGTAGGAGCCAGAAGACAGCGCTTCGGAAACAAGCTGCATCCTACAAATAAAATGCCAGAAAGAAATTAATTTATGCACTTCGAGAAGAGGGGAAATGGCTATTCCGGAATGAAACAAATGAAGCGGGCAAGCTAACAGCAAGGCAACTAAAAATATAAGCAGATGCGGGGGAACGGGGATTAAAGAGAAAAGTGTGTTGAATCTAATGGAACAAAAGTGGAGAGAATAGCAGGAAAGTGGTCATTACCATTGCGACCATCTCAGGGCCGATTGGGAAAGTGGGATAGAGGTGAGAGTAAACAATAAGGAAGAGGAACCAGAGCACGATACTCCCCCAAATGGCGAAATGGGAGAACAGTGTCCAGGCAGTATGCTCGAGACCAGCCTTCAAGCATACAGTCAGAACTGCACACTGAAGCGAAAACACCAATTTAGTGAATACTTATTTACTTCAAAATAAAGATTGTAAAGAATACAAAATCTGATTTACCGTGTATACAGTGTTGCCCAAGACCAAATAGCTAGCGATTTGCCCGTTTCCGTAAACGACGTCTAGATGAAATAAAAGTGGAAAGTGAATAAGAAATATTTCACTCAATCTGACTGCTGGAAAGAAAATTACCCCTTAATATATTTGGCATGACCCGAAAAAAGCCCCAACACTTCACATGACCCATCAACTAGCAGGCACGAGTTTAAAACGTCACAACCCCTCACACAACCCATCCAATAACGTCCATATCGTCACTAACTACTTTTCTTCACGATTCTTCAGTGATCAAAAGAACCCCCAGTAAGTAGGAGTATTAATTAAAAACAAAGAAATGATAGAAAGTGAGTTTTGCGCCAATGAGAATTAGTTGCTACTGCTCATTTCAAATGTATATCGTTAGACACTTCCCTTGCTTATGCCAGCAAAACAAGGTAGGAGAGAGGTAGCCACAACTCTCGCAATCTTCGATATTGAGCTTTCCTCTGGCACTCAGGGTATAGCGTGAAATATATGCGACTATAAGAGTATAAAGGAAATCATATCGTCGTGCATGAAGACCAGAAGAATTGACACAACTTGTCTCTGAAAAGCAAATTTGCAACAAAAATTAGCTGCTCATGCTTCCTATGAGGCCAAAGACGAAAATACGGAGGCAAAGTGAAACTTGAGCTACATGGATATCCTTCCTTCATGTCACCCCTTGGAAGCCGTAATACTTCTAACTATGCATCAAATCAACTAATTTTCAACCAATATTTATAATAATTTTCTAAAGGGTTTGGTGATTCTTTTAAATATCCCCTTCTTGCTGAAAATATAAACAATTAGTGGTCAACTAAAAGGTAACTCTATATATTAAACGATTCGGCAAATAAAAAATAGATCCCCACTGCAAGTTGTATCCAAGCAATTTTCACGAAGAATAATAGTATTCAAACTCCAAACTACTATGCAACGATTCTTATGATTGCACTGTTTGTAATTAATCCAACGCACAATTTAGTGGGAGCAGCGAATAGGTGTACATTTGACATCATCACGACTGACTTCATGACTAACTAACCAGTTCAGTGTGAATGAACTCGAATTGACCCCCCTCCCCCCTCCCCACACCCTCCTACGTGCAAAAGGCGTATTGGTTAAAATTAGAAGGCGACAATAGTTACTAGGTGAGAAAAGATCACCACAATAAGCCCCTCAATCCACAGAACGAAAGTGAAATAAGTCAAGAGCATGCTAGCAACTACAAATGCAATTTAAATATTGAAGCAGGAAAAGAAGGAAAATGCGACTGTGTCCTACCGTGATGAAATGCGCAAAGAGGAATCCAAAAGAGGATTGCGGAATGGAATATGCCATTGGCTAGCCAAGTGAGGAAAGTCTAGGATCGAATAGAAATAAAAATCAATAGATTTGAGGACAAGAAAATCATAATGAAAAAACAATACAAGCGAAGATAAATCAACGGTTCTTTGAAACGCAGCAGAGACAGGTGTGAACCTACTTTCTTTAAAAATTATTATTAAAAGAGGGAAAATAAATAGGATTGTTTCCATAGGAGAGCGAAACTAGAGTGACTCTAAATGAAAGTTATCATCAAACGAACGCTTAACAAACGTGAGGCTAACGGAAATACTTATATATCAAATAGGTAACCTAGTGGAAAATCTAAACAATGATAGCCTTACCTAAACGTCAAGGAAAAGTTTTAAAGGAGCAAACCTAAAGCGAACAAAACCGCTGAAAATAGGAAGAAGGTGATGAGACTTTGCTAGCTTTATTTGATACTTCTACAAAAACTAGCCCTAATTGGGGGATTTTAAAAGAGGCACTCACAATTTTATCAAATTTATTAGTTCTTTGGATTTCTTTATAGAGACCAGGCAGTCGAAGACAATTTCTCGCACTCATATCGCGCTCAAAAAGTCCGAGGGCCATTGGAGGGGCTACGCTGAGTACCTAGAGGAGGGAGAGGAGTTAAATTAAACTGGAATATGAAGGTATTCATTGAATTATCTTAGCTTGCTTAGGACCCGTTAAAGTTTACTAGTTCATTCTACAAACGCAGGAAAAAGGTAAAATCCTTTTTTGTTATTCAATTGCCTCAAACAAGTGGACACAAACACTAGCTTTATCGGTGATTAACTAATAGAAAGAATGACCAAGGTCAACTTCTCAAAGTGAATATAAATGCTGCAAAACACTAATCAGAAGAGGTCAAATCCGAGCGCATTTTGCACATGTAAACTCGTATGAAAGCTCTACGTATCCAAAACCAACGAGAGCAATTTACTTACATTGTTGTAGATTGCCGAAATCCATTGATCGAAGAGAATTTGTCCTGAGAAACCAGAGATCATGCCGAACCAGAATTGAATGAAATGGAGGCAGACATTCTTGTAGAATGAGTAGAAAATGAACTTATTTATGCGATAAAAAGACCATGCACCGTGGACAAGAAGGAGTTTGTTGAGGAATCTGAATTGTGCGATGGCGTAATCGGAAGAACAGGCTGCCTGTCGACCCCCCACACCATAGATACCGATGCCGATGTGGGCTGCCTGATGAAAAGAAGGAAAATAAACATGTTCCGGTACTACATCTCATTCTTCTGAAAGACTCGGGAAATAGGAGAAACTATCACAGGGATTTCTGAGACTTAAGTCAAGGCTTTACTAAGGTATCAATCCGCGACAGGTTCAGTCAAGTTCAACGCATCTATTAGAAAAATATTATTGCCACAAGTGCAGGTTATTTACCTAAAAAACATCGAAATTTAAAAAAAACAATTGATAAACTTTATTCAATTACATTCGTATTAATTAATTAGGGGACAAAATGTACAATTAATTCAATTCAGAAATTTTTGAATCGATTGAACGGGACATCAATTTTTTAATAATTAAGCCCAATGGCTATCACTTATGAAACTATTGATTACATGAAAAATAAAACTTTCAAGAGGTAGTGTTTTGCATTGCGCAACTCAAATGGAAAGCATTTTTTAAAATCCACGTGATTCCTTGTAAGTCTTATTTCAAGTGACTTGTAACACATAAACTTAAATTCACTACTGATAATAGCAACAGTCCTCATCTATTAACTTGACATCAGTTCCAGTTAATAACATTGAATGACAGGTTATACATATGTGCGATGGCCAGACGTAGTGGCAGCTAAGTTTTAAGATACTCATCGAAATATGAATACAAAAACACAAACGCAGTATTGCATTTGTAGATTGAATGGCACGCACGGAAATTCTGGAGGTGCGATCGTGTGTGAAATGGACTTTTCGTCTAATAAGCTGCTCGTTTTCATTCAATTTATGTTAATGGAATCCAACCACTACTCATGCTTGCCGTGATCAGATATAATTTTTAGAAACGATATGCTTTCACTATACGTCTGCTTCTTCTATTCCATGGAGAAAGTTTAACTCATTCCGGGAGCCCATTCATATTAGGATATTTTGACATAGAGATTACTGAGGATAAGTCAAGGCTAATTCTTTTAATAATCCTCTTCGTCTCTATTCGTGTTTAAGTTTCCTATTTGATGTCTAAATATAGAAAATCATAGCTTAGAAAGTACTTAGCCAACCCATGCCATAAACCTTACAATGAGAAAAAAGAGAATAGAATGGCCTTAGTTTGAGTTGCGTATGAGATACGTCATCGGTTAACGCGTGATCTCATGCGCGTACAACCAATGACCAAGCAGAAGCCTTCATTTGTTTAATCGTATCCGCCATGTTGATTATGACAAACCCCACGCGTGTATGCTTTTACCATATTATACATCCTGAATGTGTTACGTGCGATATGTCTGTTTCCTCTATAGCTGGGCCGTAGATTAGCTAGTTCTGGGAGTCTAGCTAGATAAAGAGAATTCCGCCATAGAGACTTCTGAGTCAGTCAAGACTTTACGAGTGTAGCAATCCGCTACAAATATGAAGACCACGAGTAGCAATAACTACAGAATAGCTGAAAACTTTGCATTTATATCACGTCACATGATGGATATCTTTTACAGACACTGTGATTGAAATTAGATTCCATTGTACCCACCTTCAAGCGTGTTTCGCTTGTCTACCTTAACAGTGACATTGCACATTATGAACTTAAAGGTGCTCCAGTCAAGACGCGTTCCATACGTAGTCATCCAGAGCTTTGTATGCAGCTCCAAGCCCTACTACTCAGTTTTATAAACCGATTCAAGTTGATTTGCTCACCTTATTGTGCAATTATTCCAGGTATGTGGAAAAAATGAACATTCATAAAAAATTCAACATTCAGCGACCATCAAATTAAGAACGATATTCAACCCCTCCTGGCCTTTTGGATAAGTAAATTATTAGTTGAATTCCTCCTTCTTCTCACCCTATCCTAATCACATTCGTGACCATCGAAGTTTTCAACAAGTTAACTACTGATAGACGCTTTCACTTGCATTATAATGGGAGAATGGTGCCTACCTGAATCATTCCAACATCGTTGGCTCCGTCGCCAATTGCGAGAGTGATATCATTTGTAAAAGTCCGAACCAAACGAACCACCTCAGCCTTTTGCCATGGACTCACTCTGAAACAAATGCACGAATTTCGATAAAAGCGCAAAAGCACGAATCCACTTGAAGTTAACGACTGCTCGGAGTGATGAAATATAGTAAAAAGGAAGCACGGAAGGAATTAGAATAAATGTAACATCAAATCCAAAAAAGGTTGCAAACCCTAACCCAATGAGAGTAGATTCAGGAAAATGACTAAGTATACACATTTGAAGATATAGTTAGTTGAAAGCCAGAAAAAGAGCGATGTTTATAAAATTATCGATGAATGGAAAGGTCTAAAAAATAAAGCCAACATACCGACAGCACACAACCGAAGAACAAGAGAGCGCCAAATCGAAGAATTCCCTCTGACACTCCGCCATAAGAAGCATTTCTAAGGCCTATTAATAGAAACAGATAATCAAATAATTACCTAAGAGCACTAATCAGGCTAACAATTTCTAATACCAACCCACAGTCTACGGATACATCGATTTTGCAATATAGACTCCACAGACCCTAACTGCGTTGGCCAAAATCTGTTATTACCACCGAGCATAATGGGAACGAGGCCAAGAAATACCGTTCTGGTTGTAGATCTCCTAAGAACAAAAGGCGTAGCTCCTAGGGGAAAATTCCTTGCCAGGGAGTAATAGTAACGACTGATTCTGTAGCCCAATTTTTGGCTGTCGACAAAAGTACAAAACTAAAGTTCCTGGTGGACATTGATTCGTAAGTTTGCGTTATCCCCCCCCCCACCCCCTCTTTAGAAGAAAAACGCCGTCTGCAGGCAACTGGGATTTCATTTCAGGCAGCCAACAACATAAAGACCCCAATTTACTTCCAAAAGTTCCTCAAACACTATCTAGGGATTCACCGAGAGTTCCCATTTGTGTTCCTGATTGTAGGTATTCGAAAACCCATCATTGATACTGATTTCCTCACCAAATTCCTGTTACTTGCCTATCTCAGAGACAGAAACCTTCATGTTGACGCCACCTTCCTCCAAGGGGTCGTCTTTACAGAGGTCCTAAGCTCTTTTGACCTGAATATTCCCCTTCCTACTGAAAAATTTTCCGCAAACATCTTAACTAAATTTCCTTCAATCTTTCGCGTCTAGACAGAAGTTATGAAACCTAATCATGGAGTACGCCATCACATGACCACTAAGAGAGAGTCTTCGCTAGAGCTCGTCCCCTTCACCCCGGGAAACTAAGTGCGCCCATAAGAATTTCTTAGGAATCGTTCGATCTTCAAGTAGTCCATGAGCATAACCTTTAGACTTGGTCACGAAGAAAAACGGTGACTGGAGACTATCGTTCTATCAATCAAATGGCTGTTCCGAATCGCTACCACATACCCCTTACGTGATTCTCCTCTGCAATTACGTCGAAAATTTATTTTTTCAAAGCTCCAACTTGTCCGAGCCCATCAACAGTTTCCAATGATTCCAGAGAACGGCTGTTATCACACTGTTCGGTTTGTCCAAATATCCACGTAGGCCTTTCGGTCTACGCAACGCAGCCCAATTACTCCAGCGATTTATAGACCAAGTTTTCCATAGGTTAGATTTCATATTTATACCTACCGCAGCTCCAACCCGGAAGAGCGCAAACATCACCTATATCATGTGTTTGAACGCCTTCAGAAATGCGGAATTACGATAATCACTGAAGTGTAAATTTGGCCAGGCGGGAATTGACTTCCTTGGCTACCACCCCAACGCTCGTGGAAACACAGCTTTCTTGGAAAAAACAGTCTATCATGGATTATTATTTCATTCCCCAATCGGTGTAAAATTTCCTTCGCTTCCTAGGCGTCGTAAATTATTACAGAAGACTTATTCTCAACAGTGTCTATATCCATCAACCTCTCACAAATTTGCTTAAGGGTAACCCAAAGCACTTAAAGATGACACCAGAGCCTGAAACAGCGTTATCGGTAGTGGAACAGCAGCTAACAAAGGCGACTACGCTAAATCGTCTCGATATCTCAGTGGGACACGCATAGTTTAGAAGACCGATGCAACCCAAGTGGCAGTCATATAGTTAAGGGAGAAATGCAGCGTCATCCCTTTTCAATGAAGATCACCGTAACGGAGATGCGATGTGGTACATTTATCTAGCAGTCAAGCACTTCCGGAATATATTGGAACAAAGATCAGATTTTACCCCTACGGGACTCTAACACACAGATCTATTGCAACGTTACACAGGCATGTCGAGACCATTCTTCCCTCAAGCACAAAGAAAGATTTTCAGCTATTTCGATGGTTTTTCGTGTTAATCACTGACCGTTTCTTTTGGAAGAACACTCGATTGGGTGTTTGAGAGTAGGCCTAAAATTACTTCACTCGTCAAACCAACAAGGTCCACAAGCATGCCTGAAGTCCACTCTCTATAGCTAGCCTCTACCCCTGACCCATTTTGGACATGTGCATGATCCGCTTCACCCATCAAACTCATTCACCCATATTTTAATCTGCATTAACAGTTTTACGCGCCGGTTAATAGAAGATCCCTTATGCAACACCAGTGGCTGAAGCCCTGATTGAATAGAGGATATCCATATTCAGTATTCCATCCGTAATCACGACAGAGAGAATCGCAATTAACTTCTGTCTGATTTCGCGAATTAAACCACCTTTTGGGATTCAATACCTATTACGTCTACCACCCGGAAGCCAATGGCCACATCGAATGTTTTCATCGACAGCTCAAATCAGTCGTCGCTACTTCTGGATTAAATTGGGCATAAATCCAACCCATAAACTTAATCTCGATTAGGAACACTATATAGGAAGGTCTTGGAAGCTCTACGGCAGAAACTGTTCAAGGAACAACGATTAGACTACCCGGATTAGTGCATTTCGATTCCAAGTTCAAACCCCCATCAACACATGTCATATTCAGATCTGTTCCAACAGCACCAACCCAACTGAATAGAAAGCCAATACAAATCCATTAGGACTTATCCACATGCTCCTTCATTTTTGTTTGAGTGGATATTGTGAAGAAACCCCAATAGTCGCCGTCCGATGAACTTTACTTAAGTCCTTTTATGTGAACCGAAGTATTTCATCCTTGACCGTAATGGTACCAAAGATTCCAATAAGTATCGACAGGGTAAAATCGGTATATTTGAAGTCTCACTTGTCTAGCCCTACGACCTGATCATCTAAAGACATTGTAATCTCTCCTTCCCAACCACTACGATCCTTTCCGCCTAATACGCTGAACCCTAATGTTCTAACACCTGTACAAAGCTCCGTTCATCTTGTTGCGGCTGAAGACAGTTACCTTCCCCTATCGACTGGCCAATTATATATATAAACTAATTTTAGAGCCTTTTCTTTATAGTTTAGCTTCCTACAAATGCTCTGGATCTGTCATATCATGCGCACGTGGACTGAACAGAATGTGTAGCGTGATTGCGCGAACACATCACCAATCAAAAGCCTACGATTACTTTATTAAATCGGCCATGTAGATTATAACTAAACTCTTTGTCGAATAAATGAGTTCGTTTCGATACGTCTATTTACTCTATAGCTGGGCTGTAACTTAGCCAGTTCTGGGCTTCTAGGCAGATATAGGAGGATCTGCCAAAGAGATTTCTGAGTTAATCAATGGTTTATTGGTGTAGCAATCCGCTACAGACAGAAGACCAAGCTAAATGATACATTTAACTATCAATATGGAGTAAATAAAACTAACCAAAATTTTGGCATGCAAACTTAAATAATGGTTCTGGTAAAAAGGCTGAGAAAACAAATGTTTAAAATAAACTGGTTCTATTTATTTGAAGTGAAATGAAACACTTTCTTCACTTTAAGGTCAAATCTCGCCCACGAACATGGAAGACAAGCCCTGATATTTGCGATTAAAGGCATTACAAATTAAGCCAAGCCTCAACTTCAATTCTTGATTTTACTTGCTCCCTTCTTCTCACAAGACTTCTGTTAACCACTTTATTCCAATCCTTCCCGACGATTAAAACTGGTGGGATCTTTAATGCTGTTATAGCCAATAATGATATACACAGTAACGCAAGCCCCTCTTGACTTTAAGCTTTAACTTGCAATTTAGGTCACTCACCTTACCCGTAACGATGAGTGCAATTCCTCGACCTTTACCACCCTCTCCTCTCTGTGCATTAATGCACTCGTTAAGTTGATTACGAACTCCATCCATGTCACTGGCATTGATCAACAAATGAGTCTGATTCAAACTTATCAATCGACAGGACAAACCTGCAAGTAACGCAAAAAGGTATGCTCACATTATGAAGAAAATAATGCAAATATTAACTTCTGAGGACTTAATTATCACTACTTGTGCCACGAATAGTTCCAATAAGAAGATCATATAATATCTATAAGATATGACAGATGGAACTTCGTGTTCAGAAATCAACAACCCTAATACTTATCCTTTTGCTTACGTTCGAGTAGACTCAGAGAAGAAGTCACTTCACCTCAAACGCATGCTCAAATACTTCATTCTTGATCGCAACAGTACCAAGGATTCAATAAGCAACGACAGATTGAAATCGGATTATGTGAAACCTACGGCTACGTGCTCGCCGGAAACTACCACGAACCTGCCCATCTCCCCAACACCATATTTACCTTCTGTAATTACTCCCGACACCTCTCTTTCCCCACTTGTACCACCTCAACCCAATCCCTGTTTCACTCGTTGTGGTCGAAGAGTTACTTTCCCCTCTCGGATGGCCGATTTTGTACATTTACTATTTATCGAGCATTTTCTTTACCTTTCGGCTCCCTACAAACGCTCTAGGGGAGGAGAGTGTAATGTGGTTCGCGTCATCGCCTAGACAGTTATCACATGAGGCGACGCGTACTGATCGGGTGCGGCGAACACTGCCAATAGCCAATCAGATGTCATCCTTTGTTTTATCGTATCCGCCATGTCGATAATGACTAAGCAACCGAGCATTGACACTACCGGCGTGTAACTTTCCTAATAAATGTGTTCCTCGTGTATTTGCCGTGTAAAAGTCTTAATTTTAATATTTATCAAAGTTTGTTCTTCCAAATGAAATAAATAACTGAAAGAAAATTTAAACAAGCAAAAGACTAACCAATGTTGACAGCAGTTTCCTGTTGGTCCCCTGTGAGTACCCAAACTGAGATACCTGCAGTGAGCATATTGTCAATTGTTTGGGGGACATCATCCTGCAATTTATCCTCGATTGCAGTTGCTCCAACAAGTTCAAGGTTCTAGAATGAGAAATGAGGCTGTAGTAAAAGTGTTCCAATACGCCTTGAATTGGGATTATTATTTATGAGTTGTGGTGAATTAAGTCTATAGAATGAGTATCAGCAGCTCTAAACTACCCTCGAAGGTGCAATCGTGTTAAGTGACACGACAGCACAGAAAGAAGAGTGATATTGGGGGCAAATAGAGAGGGGCATACCTGTTCAATTTCTTCACAAACTTCATTCACAAGCTCAGCACAATTGGTGCCAGCAATACTGCGTTCATAGTACTTTTTAGCCCAACTCTCATAATAAGCACGATCCAAACGACGGAAGGCTATGCAAAGGGTTCGAAGACCTAAACAAATAAAAATATCGAAACTTGTACATGAGCACCTCAAACTGATTGATTCATCAGCTCAAATAAATCAATCATTACAATTTAATTGTTAAGTCATGGCTACCTATTTTAAATTAACTCACTGTGCATGACTTAGAAACACATGTCTGTTAATAATCTATTAGTTAAAATGACATATGAAAGAGACACCTCTTCGAGTATGGAAAATTTTGTACACTGGAGTCATAATTTTGTGACTGTGGATCAAGGGCTTAGCCATTGTAGGCTTTATTCTGTGAAGTCTAACATTGTTGGTGACTCAGAGCAGAAGGCATAAATTCTGACCCATTCTCAACATGCCAGATCATAGCCAATACATCAAATATCATGAGCTCTAACAACTTTATTGTTATCTACTGGAGATAATGACNTGGAGATAATGACAATTCTAATAGATAAAATACGGTCTTTAAAATAAACACAATCTACTGCATTCATTTACAATCCAATGGCACTATCAACGCTTACTAAGGCAAAGATAAAAAATAGATAAGAAGTCTAGTCCTTTCAACATTCATGACTCACCAATTTCCGCAAATTCATTCATATGATTTAATGTTTCTTCTTTGAAATGCGCATCTTGTCCTAATCTTTCATAGATTGCTGTATCCTACAATTTAAACAAGAGATAATGGACGAATACGGCAAAGTTAAAAAGTGGTTCAATTACCCCCAAAACATCAAGTTTGCTTTATTACCGAAACGCAAATTACTTAATTAAGTAAACATAAGGAGTACACAAATCGATCACTCTGAAATTCCAACTTCTCATTAAGGCTAAACAAAGAAAGTTAAGAAAACTGCAGTGATAAGAGGGTGATTATGGGAGAAATAATCGAAATAAAATTCCGATTGTGCACTTGCAGAAGAAAAGTGAATTTGTTTTTGCGACTCGTCATAAGTGTTCCAATTTTTTCCTATAGAATTACTGCCGCATAAAATGTATTTGTCTGAGCACGATGAACAGAGAAGAAAGAATGGGTAAAAGAGAAATATTTTGGAAATGGTGTCAGCAAAGCACGTTAGAACAAGAAAACATCGGATTGAATAGAAAATTGTTCCAACAAAGATTAAACCATTTGAAAAATGGAGAGACAATGAACCATATTAATTCAAAAGGCTATAAGCTCAGTTCCCGTCGCCACTTCAGGGTCAATATTGGCAGTCTCCTCTCAAACCAATAAATGAATAATCGAGATTCGAAGCGTGGAATCCAAGGTGAAAGCAAAGCACACACACGTGAACAACATGTGACTTTAGTGTAATGGTAAATTAGGGGGTGCAAAAAATGACTGAAAGTTTTACATTTAATAATAACAAGCCCAGTAGACAACCCAACACTTTCTAATCTTCGCGAAATCTGCCTCATACTAGTAACCTAAAATTACGTAAGTGCTTAGTGACCTGGCACGTGAAATAGTGGCTATTTCACCAACATTTTAGGAAAGTATATTATTCGCACAAAAATTCGTTGGTGGAAATAAAACCTGTTTGAAAAGAAAATAAGCAGGAGACAATGGGGGGGGGGAGCATAATTAGCCAAAAGGACAGAGGATAGGTAGAAAATCGATACCAATTACATATAACCACTAAACAATGGTAACTATTAAACTTAAAAATAGATCCAAAACCAACAATTAGTCCCATTAGCGCAAAGTATTCCTCAGTAAATATCTACGCTCTCTAAGGAAGCAATGTGTGACAAATGATAAAATATTGTAAAAGAAGTTTAGATCTGGACTGCGTCTGCAATAAGTTTGTAAGCAAAGTCACTTACTATTTGGCGCACAAAGAGTTGTTTGTGGAAATGAAATCTGTTTGAAAAGAAAATAGGCAAGAGGCAATGGGAGGGGAGCATAATTAGCCCAAAGAACAGAGGACAGGAAGAAATCAATACATCTATTAGTCTATTTGTAGATTAAGTTCTCACGGAATTTAATACTCAGAAGGATATCTGAACCAATAAGATGTGCCCAATGTCAAATTCTGAGATGACACAGAAATGAGTGGCTATTGTAGTAAGGTGGTAGTCTCCTACTTTTCAGTTTTTTACTTTGGAGTATCTCACCTTTTTCGTACACCTATAGACCTCTGTCTTTTCACAGTAACTTGCCTTCTGTATACTTATTAATAAATACTTCAAACACATATTTTGAAATAAAAACAGAAGCCAATGCAATTTTAAATCAACCGCCAATAGGCATCAAAGTGCTAAAGCACCTTGACAATGGGAATGAGCTTCACGAACAATAATTATTTTGAGGTTTTAAATCAACGAAATTCAAGTTATGTTCACTCTGACATTTCTATATCCCCACATCATCAAACTCGTTGTTGACCAATTTTCTGCAAATCATGGAAAATCACAATAATTGAAGAGGATGGAGGGGGAAGGGGGAAAGACTTACTGCGCCTTTGACCATGAGGAAGAGTTTGCCTTCTTCATCCTCCACAATTACACTCATTCGTTTCCTGTCACTGGTGAACTCAATGATATTCAAAAGTTTGAATTGGTGCTTTTCGCCTTTCTATGAAAAAAAAACACAAAAAGATTAACAATGAATTTCATGAAAGAGGTGAGTATTAAGCACCAGTATCTATGGCGAAATTAATTTACCACACGAATAGTGACAGAATCGGGTTCTCGTTCACAGAATACGTAACCCAGAGATTTTGCAGCCATCACTAAGGCTCGTTCATCTAAAAGGGGAGGGAGAATTGTACTGGATTAACAGTAGATACAAGGGACTATCTAGAACTGTGATACCATACACTACGAAGTTTAATGAAGCTTTAAACCTTCCTACTCAAAATTTACGAAGGTAATAATAAGGACGCTAACCCAGCAACACTCAGCCAATTTTTCGATTAATTCCGACATTAGCACAGTGATCCGAATCGTAGACAATCTAAATCTTCTTTCCCTCGCTTAAAACTACTTGAAATAGAACCCCACAAAATGTCACAATCCCATTTGCATTGACCAAGAAGAAGTGGCCGTTACTTTTGGGTGCATTTAAGCTTTTGGGGTGGAGAAGGTGCTTGCACTGCTCTATGACCATTGTACAGTATGTTCCCAACCAATTACCACCCCCCCCCCACACACAACTTCAAACCCGCCATGAAGGAAATAGCTACGAACACAATACAACAAAACTGCCCCATAAAAAGCCACATAGGAAAGAGAGACCGACGATAAATAGAACTAATTCACGACATGTCAGGATATCAAAGGTCTTTGTCTCAAATAGATAAAAGAGAGCAAAAGAGTTCTCGAAAAATGAATCGAAGTCGCTGAGCACTGACTAACCAAATACTTCGAAATATACGCAAAAATAAACTTGCACTTTACGACGATTCCAATTACCTGCGTTTATGTTAAAACGTCTGTCACATAGGTACCACCAATAGGGTGTTTATACTAATCTACCTATTTCTGGTAAGACGCAAAAAATTCGTTTTGATGACTGGTTAAAATACCAGACTCAAGACGTCTGGTTATAAATAAAATTTGATCATTATATCAACGACACAAGGTTATGTATATCCAACCTCTTAAGATAATCTGAATTAAAGGCGTATTCGACCAATCATGCTTTAATTCAATGATAGATTAACTCCAAATGGCGACACATATCACCCAATTCGAGAAAGAATTCAATGGCAGTATCGAAGACAAACATTATGGTAATGAATTTCAAATAACCTGGTGAGGTAGCTTGGTAGCGGATATCATCGCGATCAATGTCCACGTCTACGTATTCGGGTATGACAGTATGACAGACAGCAAGGATTGTGAAAAACCAGTCCACATCACGATCACCCTCAGCCAATTTGGTGAGTAGTCGCCAGTCTTGAATGGCCGTCGCCTCTTGATCCTCAAGTCTATAGAAGGCGAAAAAAATGATTAAACGGAAACCAATTGAAGTAAAGACCTACGGCAACCAAAGGAATAAACGACAGTAAATTCCTTATTAATTCATCTGACTCCCTATCAATGAAATTCGTTCTGTCCCACCTTCCACACCAAGGGCAAATTTACTTCCATAATAGGTGTGAGACAGATATCACTAATTCGCTNTTTACTCAAATGTCATTTTATTCTTACCTCTAAACGATAAAGTTCATTTTCTAACTCTCATATTCATTAATGGAGAAGAATCATGGATCTTAATTGGCAAAACTAATTTACATTGCATCCAACTTAGCATTATTCTGCAAAGCAATGCTTTTTTCCTAGCAAACATGAATTGACTGCTAGCACATTGGTCTCTTTCAAGTCCTCGGTGATCGAATCAAGTGAAATAAACTTTAAAACATTTGGCGTGATACAGTGAACTACATCCAATAAGAAAAATGGACAATTAGTGCATTCGGAATAAAAATAGTTTCATCAACTATAAATCACACAACCACAAGTTATAAACGTCCCACCCAGTTTTGGAAATGTCTAGCAGTCATCAGTGTTCAGACACCTCCATACAATAAATTCTTTTAAATACATTTTCAGAAAATATAACTAAAATTAATACTGGCTTTAATTAATAGTAAAAATGCCGTGAAGCATCGAGATTTGAATAAATACGTTGACGCATGAATTCTAGCGTACAAAATTAACACAATAATTGCCTACACTAACAAGCTGACAGCCAAATTATGAATGGCGTGACTACGGTGGTCATAAAAACACGAAAACCGGATTTGCACCAACTTGCACGCGTTGAAAATCCCGAGATTTAAGAAGTAAGCAATCAAGATACGAGGATCGAATACGCCGTAACCCTAGGTAGTAAAGCAAATAAAGGCCTAAATAATTCATGAACGATCCCACTTCGAATCCCTCCTTTAAGGCAAGAACATGAAACTGAATTTTGTCACGAAAATTTGCTAATTAAATTACTTTAATGCCAGGGGTAGAAATTACCTCAGCATAATTCTTCATAATTCTATGTCATATTAGACCACTTCCGCAGTACACATCACACTTCACATATTTATCTTAATTTGTGACTGTCTCTGAACTTCTGTGAATCACTCTTCTGACCCCCACACTCTCCACTCTTTGTGACGTTGATGTTACACAGCCTTCCCTCCCCCCTGTATAGACAGAAACCAAACCAAAAGGCTAATAATATTGGGTTGGTAACTAAGTCATTGCCGTTTTTGTTGACAGATTCACTCTATACTTTCTTTTGTTTTGTTAACGTGGCCAGAGCATCTAATCTATATTTTTTTCTTACTGTATGGGCTTCTAGGTTAATTAGTAAAAAATGTTTTGTTTAGTTCTTTAGTTTTGTTTTTATCCCAATTTAAAAATGAAAGAACAGGACGTGCACTTCCGACACATTTTATTGTATTACTTCCGAGAAGGCAAGAACGCATCGCAAGCACAAAAGAAGTTATGTGCCGTATATGGAGATGAAGCCTTAAAAGAAAGGCAGTGTCGAAGTTGGTTTGAAAGATTTCGTTCCGGTGATTTCTCACTGAAAAATTCACAACGATCTGGCCGCAGAGTCGAAGTGGATGAAACCCATATCAAGGCCATTATCGATTCAAATCGTCACAGCACAACACGAGATATTGCAGAGGAGCTCAATGTATCGCATACATGCGCATTGAAAAAAATTAAAAACCCTTGGTTATGTGAAGAAACTTGATTTATGGATCCCTCACCTGTTAAAGGAAATCCATTTGACCCAACGGATTAGCATCTGTGATTCGCCCCTACTGAAACGCAATGAGAATGAGAATGATCCATTTCTTAAGAACCTGGTTACTGACGACGAAAAGTGGATAGTTTATAACAATGTTACTCGCAAGAGATCATGGGTGAAGCAAGATCAACCAGTCCAAACAGTATCAAAAGCAGAGATTCACCAAAAAGGATTATCCTGTCAGTCTGGTGGGATCACAAAGGAATTTTGTATTTTGAACTCATGCCGCAGAACCAAACGATAAATTCAAATGTGTATGTTGAAGAACTCGAAAAACTGAAGGATGCAATTGAAGATAAGCGGCCGGCATTATCAAATCGGAAGGGTGTTGTTTTCCATCATGATAACGCAAGGCCCCACACATTTTTGGTTACTCGGCAAAATTTATTAGAACTGGGTTGGGATGTTTTGTCACACCCACCATATAGCCCTCACCTTGCGCCTTGGGATTACCATTTGTTTCGTTCCATGCAAAACTCTTTAAATGGTAAAATTTTTAGCAACGCAGATGATGTCGGATCACACCTAATTCAGTTTTTAATAGCAAAGACCAGACATTTTACGAACGGGGAATTTTTACTCTGCCAGAACGATGGAAAAAGGTCACCGACAAGAACGGCCAATATCTAATTGAATAAAGTTATATTTTTAAACAAAAATTCCGAATTTGCCTTCTTGTTTGAAATCGGGAATGACTTAGTTGCCAACCTAATAACTATCATAATGCCTGCTATTTGATATAAATATGACCAATATGCATAAACGCAAATTATAATTTCTTCATAAAATAGTTTTCAAAATCCCAAAATGCGTGTGATACTCAAGGCCGTACACCAAAATGAGGGGAATAGTTTGCACCTAATAACTAAAGGGCCACACCTCCAGATTTTAACAAGAAGGTTCTGTAAAGTTATTGCCCTACACAAGATCGGTGCCGAATAAAGCATTAGAAGCGTTAAATAATCCAATCCATGAGCAGTTCATATAACCACACTCTACTTACCCATAGGCCTCTCGTCCAATCGAACACATCTTAAATTCCATGACATTCTTAGTAAGAGTTCCAGTCTTATCAGAGAAGATGTACTTAACCTAAGAGAACACGAATAGGCCATTAGAATGGATTTTATTTTCCATAGAAGAGAGAATTAGCAGGAGACACATACTTGGCCCAAGTCCCCGTTGAGATTTGAATTTCGCGCCATTGCTGGTGTGTCCGTTTTTGCATCGTAAATGTCCAAGTCCTAGAGGGAGACGCGAAAGCAATACAACACATAAGATTGAGGAACCGGTATGGCATGCGAGATTATGTCTATCCGTGTGGGGCTAATGAAATTATGTCAGATGCCATTAATGCTCAACCCATAATAATTCTTAAAGTGAGAACTGTTAGGACTGAATTTTAAAGCATGATATCCAACAAGACTTCCAATTAACATAATCAGCGGTTGGCTACACATATCTAAGAGTTTTTCAACAAAGAACAGGGCCCTATTAGTCATTTTCCACTGAGGTGATTAGTCACGTTAAGCACTGTTTCTTTCTGGAATTTTAAGACTTACACATTCATGCTACTCCACTAATAAAACCACCATCGTATAAGCTATGAGACCACCCACAATAACCATTCTAATTTCGATATTAGCAATTACAGATCTAGGAATTGTAAAAACTCACCCAATTAATGAAAAGCGCCTGAACAAATCGGACGACTTCAAGGGTGACTTGGAGACTGATTGGAATTATGGTATGGAAGAATATAAAAGCAGTGATGCACATGTAAAACGCACTCATCCAGGTCAATTCTACGAGGAGAAAGAATAAGAAGTTAGAAAAATGGTGGAATCGCGATTTAATAAAGACTACTCTAACTTGGACATTTCAAATATTGCGGATTATTTGACTCCTTAATTTACTCCGACTTTCTTAATTTTTAGTTTAACAGTTTGGTAATGGCGTTTACAAGTTGGATAGAGGGAGGAAATCATGTCAATATCACTTAGCATAAAGGAACCTTCTCCCACTTCTTCAATTACAATTCTCCCGTCTATCCTTCCTATTATTCACTAAATGCGTAAACCAATTCAACTAATTTAGGAAAGATTATTGTGTCCCGTTCAGCCTTGAGTTCTGCAAGAGGATATGTAGTCTAGAATTAGGCCAACAATGGGGACAGATGTACTGACGGGGATAGTTGTGCTATGAAGACGACTACCAAGTGTAACTAGGAGGTAGGAACCTTTGCATTAATACGAGGCCCAAAAAAGTATAAAAGATGACAAGGCGCTGACCTCCAAATATGATAACATTGTATTGGAACAATCAAAGCTCGCATAACATGAGAGAAAGGATTATAAAACCTTCAATAGGAAAAAATAAAAGGAAATATAAAAATATCAAGTGAGAGAAACTAAGGTGTGTATAGCTTGGGCGTATACAACTATAAGTTAAATATCTAATATTTTGTTTCACTAGAGTTGGAGTGAAGATCATACAAGTCACCTTTTTAACACTCGCTTCTCATAGCATAGCACCTTCCAAACATTGGCCAACATTTTTAGCAAGAACAGGTGACAGTGCGGGAGTAAGAATTTAAGCAAGAGTGTAACAAACCTAAAGGCCACATTCAACCCAAATCAATAGATAATATACGAAATTGTTTCCAGATGGTCGTTGGACAGAAATGCTAAATAAGTCGACAATAGTTATAATAAACAGCCTAATTAAAATAAGAAAAAGACAAATTTCGCCTGTCAATCCACAGTTCCAAAGATTTCACCAACACAAATACACAACGTGAATATCTTCTGTTTCAATTTATGGTGGTGTACACTAAATTTTAGCCAGCATCTCAGTTAATTAATTTTAAAATAGGCGCCAACATGGCCCAATGACATGTGAAAGCAGTCAACTTCTCGTAATTAGCCTGACTCAATCAACATGTCAAAGCATTCAATTCACTGAGTGTGAAACGGTTGACTACAAACCAGTGACCTCTGCCTTCACATACGAGCATATTAGCTATAGCACCACACTAGAACCGATAATGAACCTCCGATCATAAAAAAATTAATTCCCCAATTACAACCAAACTGCACTTAGTATCCAACCTTATTTGAACATGGTACTAGAAAAATATATTGAGACTAGGAACTGAACGCAATTAGAGCCCGGAAAGGACATTCCTTTGCTATACCCGAACAAAAGTAAAACAATCTGATGTTCCACACACTTACAATAACTTGTGACTTAAGAATCGGAGCTTCAACTGAGTATAGAAACAACTTTTTTTCAAAGAGTATCAAATATTATGGCATTGGGGCATGAAAGAGAACTTACCAACTCCACCGAGGTACCACATTTTTTCTCCAGTGACTTTCGTCCAAATTATATTTGCAAAGACCATAAAAACTGTGAGAAAGGCCAGCAGACCGAACAGTACCAGGATCTAGTAGTAGAATTATTGAAAAATATGCATTCACGGAGCTCCCAATTGAAAAATTTGTCCATATTCATAACCACAATACTTGAATACACACGCTTATTTAGATGCCATTTTATTTGTTCAAACTGCTCAAACTATTTAGAAAATCACGACTTAACAACCAGGGTTAATTTAGCGTTCATCTCCAAGAGCCAAATATCAAGTCCTCATTAACATTTCACTGAACACTGTCAGAGTAAATTCTACATCAACGTTTTGCATTTGATGTACATAGAAAACAGATGCTGCAGTCTTAAAACCAGAAACTACGTAATTTTAACAAATGAGAATGACAATTGATTAACCTAACAGTAATAGACAATCCAAAGTTCAGTTCTTAACTATCATTCAAATGGTTTGAGTCCACCAACCAAAAGATTGAGTTGAGAGATTGATCGGAGTATTCTTACAACGGGTTGAAGCCATCGTATATTCTAACAGCAACACGCTTCACCAACCGCCCATAAGATAGTTGAATTACCAGTGCACTCAGAAAAGAAGACCAAACTCACATAAAGAAATTAACAAAGTAAAACATCAATGGCCATTTCACCAAATGTGACAATAGACCTCGTGTAAGAGTATCGTAAACAACCTTACACTATCTTGAAATATATCAACTATTTCGTGATTTATGGACTTATTAGCCAGAACTACAATAGTAAATGACTATAACACATATTTACAATTCAAATCTCACATAGTAGTTAGTCTGTTTATCCACTGAAGAGCGTTTCAAAGGTGCAGCAGTTGAATTGAGCATGACTTTCGACTCCCTTCCAGTATAAACAACAGCACCTAGAAAAAGAGCAAAATGGAACAATTAATAAGATGACAATAGTTTGAAGTGGACATCTTTCAAAACCAACCCACCGAAAACCCAATTGGTGTTTTTCACCGTAGCGCCGCGAAGTAATACTTGATTGCTATCCAGTGGATAACCTCTTAAAGTGCAAGAAAAGTGCAACCAAGTTGGTTTTAAAGAAAATAGCAGGCGAAACATACATAGGAATAGCTAAATCTTACGTATTCTTCTCATCATACAGCGTTCCCACAAACTCATCAAGAGTTCGGGTTGGCTGTTCACATTCAATTCGAATATGGGCTTTACGCAGTAATTCGGCAGTAATTAATCCAGATGTAATTGTTAAACCCTAGAAGAAAACAGAAAAATTGGGCAATTCAATGAACCGATATTCACATTAAGAAAAAGATATGGCCCGAGTTATATTTGTAAAATGGGGTGTGCGATAGACTTACCTCCACGTGGTGCACCCTGGACAACGTATACTCATTCGGCAAAAAAGTCTATTACCGGCAGTTGACTTCTGAGTTCAAGCTATCAGGACCCCAATGTATGTCATATTCGACTACTTCCACAGTACTCACCTCACCTTTCATCTACTTTTGTGTCTGTCTCTTTTACTTCCCTAAAAAACTCTTCTGTTCTCCCCCCCCCCCCTCTCGACCTTTTTCGATTTGATGTTCCTCTCCCTCTGTGAAGCCTGAAGTTAACTAGAGGGCTAATGATAACTATCATAAAGGCTGCCATTTGATATAAATAAATATTTGCAAAAAATTTAATCATGTATAGCCAAAAACAGGATAATTATCACAGAAAAATGGAAACTTAAACACAAGGTTAGATGTATATATTTCTATGCATTTATAAACAATAAATTTCATAGTTAAAAGAAGTGCTAAATTGATATGAGTTGGTACGAAGAAACCTACGACCAAAAAGGTCTCAAATCTTATCTTGAGAATGTTATCTCTCTATCACCCAACAATAACCAGCAACTACGAGTATTCTTATAAAAGTTAAGTAAAAGGAAAAAATGCTAAGACACAGCATAAATTTAAAGGGAAGATCTACTGGATTAAAAAGGAAAACCTTATTCGATTATATCAAGAAACAGGACTTCGATCTATAGAATTACGTCATAAAACTGAGATTAAACTGGTGGAAAACGCACTTGTCGAAGCTTAAGCGTAGTTTCACCATCCAGGTTGGACGTTTCAATGTAGCACAAAGACATGGGTTCGCCTGTTGCCAATATTACCAGATCAGCAGGGATGCGAGAATTGCTTGTCAACTTCACAATATCTCCAACTTGTACATCCTTCCAAAGTATTGTTTCCCAACTACCATTTCGTAACACTACATTGTCATAAATTAATAAAAATCCATTAATGATAAGCATACCCTGAGTCTTTGAGTTATTTGTGGCCTTATCACTTTTATGTCGTGTCTAAATGGAAAGGCACCAGTAAAAATGGTGTGGAAATGTAACATACATAATCCTCAATAATTTCTTTGATAGCGGAGCCACAGAGGATAAATGCAAGAAGAAGTAAATTTGTAAAACGACCAATCGGGGACACACCTGGAATTTGCTAAAATTAACTCATAATTTTCGAATTTAAAACACTCACTTGGAGAACGGCGACAAATAGAGAGAATATATTGCCATATTTCCGGAACTGTTCAAAGAGGAATTTGGGGATAAATGTAACAATCGAATACTTCCCAGTACTAAAGAAGAAGTTAAATAAACCAAATGCTTATCTTACCTAATTGAATTACTGCAAAATGTTGTAGTGTTTGGTTGATTCACAAATATTACACGTTCTTTTCCATCGGGCGACATGGAAATTTTAGTAATAAGTGCATGAGAGCTTAAATCATTTGATACACTTTCCAATGATGGTACGTTGTCTTTGGAACCTTTAACTTCTCTCATAATAGCTATTTGGCCATAAACGAAAATAAGTACATAAAAAAAGCGTCGATCAATACCATATGTGTTATTAAAATTTCTCATCATAAGGAATAGCATTAACGAAAATATCGAGAGCATGAAATAATTGTAAATGTGCAAAGTGCATAAATTAAGCCAAAATGGAGTATAAGAAAATCAGCACTTATAAGTAAGAGCTGCACAAACTTAATACAAAAAAGCTCAATCTAGCACCACAGGCGATTAGTTGGAAAAGAGATGAGAGGAGTTAATTGGAGGCAAAAATACTCCGCACTAAGTGAGACCGCAACTCTATTCACTAAACCGAATTGGAGAACTCTTGATGCAACCTTGAAGTCAATTGTTTGAGTATTTAAAAGCATTAAGTATTAAAAATTTTGAGAATTTTCAAAAAATATAACTCTTTTATACATATTTATTATACTATTACATATTCAGATTACTAAAATTTAGATAAGAAAAAATTAACTATTTTTTGATATTTACAGATTGATCTTTTTGAAAAATATTGTTATATTAATAACAAAAATTATGGAACATAGCAATTGAATTGATTGCGCTGTTCAAAGATTGAACATAACATTTATTCTGTTAGTACGGATTTGAAAATTTAACATTCCAATATATATCGGGGATTAATTTTAATACATCTACCTCCGTTCTAGTTTAGATTTATTTCAAACTTATTTAGCATTTGAAGTTATTTGATTATTAACAACTTGGTAATAATTGGAATAATAATTTGAAATTGTGTATTTGGAAATTGTGATTAAGGAGACCGTTTGCCTTAGGCAGGAAAAGGTTAATGTTTATAAGCTGAGTTAATCAGATAGACGAGAAGAAAAGAACGCAAACTATCGAGTTAAATGAATTCAGATTCCTTCCGTCTGTGTTAGTGCAGCACGATCTCAAAAGCCACCGGTAAGGCTGAACAAATTTTGCAATATTATTAGGCCTACTTATTCGACAGATACGAAAATAACTAATTCTTAAAAATTTTTAAATTTTGGATTGGATGAGACTGTGTCTCCTTGTTTGAGTTCTGTAAGTGATTCGATGATAGAGACTCAAACACTAATAATTTGCTCTTAACCTTAACGCGCTTTTCAGCTTTGAGCTTGATAAGACCAAATATGCCCTTTGGTTAGCATATATAGCTGAAGAATTCGAGTGAATGATAGATCGTTAGCTAATATTTCTGGACACTCAGATTTTAGGTAAAAGAAAGCCTCATTTTGGTCCTAAGTCTGTTCACATTAGTGTAGTACGTTAGTACTCAAGACACCCGGTTTCAGTGGATCTAGAAATTGCCCATGTAGAATTGTAGTCTGCTGCTTCGACAAACCCGAATGGTTTGGACATTACCACCTTTACTGCAAAACACTTTGTTAAACTCGGATAAACTTAAAGTTAGTATACAATCGTCGCCATATGACTAGTAATCCTGCCGAAACTCGATCCATCTCAGGCTACATAGTCATCAATCGGTATCGCCTCTGGCAGACAAATTACAATAAGAAGTGAATATCAACTTGATTCAACCTTTTGTAAAGGTCATGCTTTTTTATCTTTTTTCCAATGCATAGATGTTGTGACCTCTAAAAAAGGAATATTTAAACCACCTCTTTCTATTATTGAGGCATGGAGATTAAATTGTCGCCAGATTGATAATACTTTGTGTCCTGAATAGCCACCAAGCTGACAGGGGCGACATCGCTCAAGTATTTTTGAGCATGATGGACATCTTTGCGAAAACCTTTGGGAATTGGCAATTAAAAAGGCAGAAATAGACGATATAGCTATGGGATTTGATTCATTGTTTTTCTAGTAGTAAGAGGAGACCAGCTTCCTATTGTGCCATCCCTTAGAACATTAAGAACTTGAGGAACACGTCATCGCTTAACGTTTGATCGCATGTGCGTACAACCACTGGCCAATCAGAATCCTTTGTTTGTTTAAGTAGACCTGTCATGTTGATTATGACTACGTTTGTGTTTGTCTCTTACATCTTTGAAACGCTCTTCTGTTCCCCCATCTCGACGTTTTCAATTTGATGTTCCTTCCCCTCTGTGAAGCCCGAAGTCAACTAAAGGGCTAATGATAACCATCAAGACGCCTGCCATTTGATATAAATAAATAAATAGATTCCGACGTGTACACTTTATCCACATTAAACTTCCTGAATAAACGCCTTCCATGTGATATGTCTGCTTCCTTCATAGCTGGCCTCTAGCTTAGCCAGTTCTGAGAATCTGGTTAGATATATGAGATTCTGCCACAGAGGCTTCTGAGTCAGTCAAGGCTTTACTAATGTAGCAATCCGCTGCAAACTTCACTATCATTGCTTAGAAAGATGTCAGTGGTGAAGACAGAAGTCCTACACAAGTCGCGTGAATGAAGAAGTCTAAAGAAGTGTTAGTAAGTGAAGTATGCACCGTGACCACAAATCCGAAAATGATTGGTCATTCGCATTGATTGTTTAAACATAGCTAAACTAGTAAAGATAGTTTAAAGGTTGAAAACTGTGTGGAACTTCAATGTAAATTAAAATTATTCCATAACAGTGAAATAGGGTGGGACGAATTTATTTATGGCAAAAGAACGGACATCAAAGTGTCGCGAAAATGGATAAAAGTATTTCAGGTCTCTTCAGGTCTTCCACAAGCTGCCTTTGGTGAAAACACAGAGGCTTCCTTATCCCATGATTGTAACAAAGTTGTTTCTAAGCAATGCCCCGAAAAAACGCTTTGACTCTAAGAGTCTTTGTGAGTGTCAAAGAGAATACATAATTGTGAATAATTGTAAAATATTCTCCTTTGACGAACTCGAAATCTTATTTTGCTTGTTCCCTCCACTGCAATTAAAAATAATACTCACCCAACTTTATGAAAGTCGGTCAAAATTATTTGCATCGCTTTTGAGCTTTCTGGAAAATGTAGGCTTTCGTGAAAAATTCTCTCCGTCAACCAGCTACCGAGTTTATGCGACATAGCCTAATATTTGTTGTATTCAATGATTAAATGTGTGCTACCTGTTCCTGTTACTATTGAAGCGGTTTAATAAAATTTAGGAGAGATGTTAAACTAGTGTTGTTGAGGTTGAGAAGAAAATTCACTTGTGTGTTATTCGCTCCAAGTTCAAATGGAAGTCGTTTTGTGGAAAACAATGGAAACTAGTTTTTTTCCCATCTCCTCTGCCTGCTTGTAAATTGTAAAAAATGATGACGAAAGGCTTTAACTCATCATGTAATCGAACGAGACTTTTCCAAAGATACAGCAGGAAACTATCGTGAAAATGCAAGAACTGTTATTTCTCTAGTACAAGAGATCAATGTATATCATTATAACTCGGAATTACGGCTAAAATTAGCTTACTTGTTAGTAAAAGACAGGCGTATTGTCCTAAACGCTCCTATCGATGTTGCAAGTGTTGCGCTTGTGGGACACATTATCGCTGTGTGCGTCATCGTATGCCTGCATGTCTACTCGCCAGGATTGGGAGGTGCGGCCGTACAACTCTGTGTGTAGCGACCGTACAAACAGTGACCAATCATCAACCTCTGTTTAACCTAATCCCCCATCCTGATCATGAGTAGCTCCATGCGTGTACACACTTTATCCGCAATATACGTCCTGAATAAACGTGCACCCTGCTACACGTCTGTTTCCTTTCATAGCTCGGCTATAGCTTAGCTAGTTCTGGGAGTCTAGCTAGATGTTGGAGAATCTGCCATAGAGATTTCTGAGTCGGTCATTCTTTACTAAGGTAGCAATCCGCTACAAGCTTAAATGTTTCTACGAAGTTTGAAAAGGACTAAAAATTAAAAGCACAGAGGTTTTATCCAACGTACCACTATTTTGACTCCCATTTTGGCGAAACCACCTCGATTTGTTCAGAATTTTTATGAAAAGTCTTTTGCACTTTGAAACTGCTTTAATGGCCGCATAACGAAGTAAAATGTGTAAGGTGAAAGTGTTTCGAGCTGTCTTGACGAAAATTCGTCGGGAGGATATCTTATCTATCTCCCAGAATCCTTGTTGCTAGTGCTAGCGTTATATTTGGGGAATGCAATTAAGTAAATCAAATTTCCTTTAAAACTGTGTTTTACGCTAATTTGGCATCTGACACAAATTGAACATCAAGTTCAATATTTAAGACTTCGTGGCAAATGGAGATTTGAGGTAACAAAGTGCCGACTAAACCAGAATTCAAAAAGAAGATCGGTAAATAAAAAATTAATCCAATGGTAAGGCAGTTGAGAGAGCCCTATTCCAAACGAAGGAGAATATTAGGCGGAATGAAAGCTGCAAAGAACGCGTAGAAAGAAGCAAGATGAAATTGAGTGTGGTCCTGAATAAATTCTCCAATATTGTCACGGCTTCGTAGTCAGTTTCGAAGTGAGCCCTCTCGGAAAGACAGAGATTAGAGATCATTTTGACTAATCAAAAGACGAATGTTGTTGACTATTGCAGGCTTCCTAAGAGAAAGTCCCGAACAAGGAGGTATAAAAATAATATATCCTCCTGAGATGGCTAAGCATCCTTGCCAAGAAGACTGCAGTTGCATTGTTGAACCACTTGGTGGCTGATCATCCAAGACCTGGTTGGTGATATTTGATGGAAGTGCGAATGTGAAGGTCAACCCGACCAAAGCTATGACAACCACACAAGTAAATCCCTGTAAAAGGAGTATGTCTTCAAGAATGAGTGGGAAACTAGCAGAATGACTTCAAATGAATTTGAAGAAGCTGTTCAACAGGGAAAAGAGGGATATCAAGGTGGAATTGCAATTATGAATTTCTATTAATCTCTTTCGCTTGAGGGAAGTAATGCGCTATTCAATATTGACTTCCAGTTTATTATTGGAGCTGCGATTGCTTTTGCAAACTTAACAGGAATTGTGCCCCACAGCTGCATATAGTTCCAACTGAATGGCGTAAAACGCTTTCACTATAACAAAGAGAATTCGTCTTTCCATTCTTGCTGATAGGAATACTGAATCGATGATCGAGGACATAATTTTTCCAGAGTTTGTGTATTAAATGACAAGGTTTATGATAGTTTTCATTAACCCTTTAGTTGACCTCGTACTTCAAAGATGGAGGGAACATCAAAGTTATAAAAGTCGAGAGGTGAAGAGAAGAGTGACTCACAAATGTAAAAAAGACTGACACAAAGGCAGAGAAAAGGTAAGGTGTGTACTGTGTTATTGGTCGAATATGGTAGATTGAATTCGGTAAATTGAAGTNCCCCCCCCCCCCGAGACATTTGAATTAAGGATTAGATTGCTGATCATTGTAGCACCGATATCCTCAAATTAAAATAAAGAAAACTGTAATTAGTAGTAAAACACCAACCTGAGACAATTGTGGATGGATAAGCCCCTCAATAACAGTTTGGGTGCATAAGGGGAAAATGACTCAAACGCATCTTTTAAGCATTATGAAGACTCTCATAAGCGCCATCGAATCTCACACTAACTAATCCTATTGTGGGACACGCTATCGCATTTACGCGCGCGGTTACTAGGACGTACGCTGTAGACAGTAACATGAGTGACCAATCAGAAGCCGCCATGTGTTTATAACTAAGCCGCCAAGGTGAATATGACTAAGCTGTTTGAATTTACACTTTTCTTATCGCTGCGTGACTGAGTATATGTGTTCCGATACCTCTATAGCTGGGCTATAGCTTAGCTAGTTCTGGGAGTCTAGCGTAGCTGGGGTATAGCTTAGCTGGTTCTGGGAGTCTAGCTAGATGTGGGCTATAGCTTAGTTGGTTCTGGGAGTCTAGCTAGATGAGTTTCCCTTATAGCTGGGCTATAGCTTAGCTAGTTCTGGGAGTCTAGCTAGATGTTGGAGAGTCTACCACAGAAATTTCTGAGTCGTTCAGGCTTTTCCAGTGTAGCAATCCGCTACACTATCTTCTCCATATCACTTGTCGAAGCCCGTTATTCTCAAGCCGCTAAGTGCTTTGTTATTGAGGCGTGATCAGGGATACACTCGTAAGTACCCCGATTAAATGAGGGATTTTTGTTTGGCTATCTGCATTTTCTAGAATATTCATGCGCCCATGAGAGTGCTTTGGTCAACCTTGGTACCATTATGCCCTCAACCTTTTCAAGCATTTACCGAATTTTTTGAGCAGTGCAATGTTTGTTGAGAAACCGATGATCTTCTGCTTTCGACAATACGGAATTGTCCCTAATTATTTATTTATTTATATCAAATGGCAGGCTTTTGGATAATTATCATTAGCCCTTTAGTTGACTTCAGGCTTCACAATAATTATCATTAGCCCTTTAGTTGACTTCAGGCTTCACAGTGGGGGAAGGAACATCAAAGTGAAAAAAGTAGAGGGGGGGGGGAACAGAGGAGTGATTCACAGATATAAAAGAGACAAGCAGACACAAAGGTAGAAAAAAGGTGAGGTGAGTACTGTAAAGTAGCCCAATATGACATAGAGTGGGGTCATGGTATTTTGAAGTCAGAAGTCAACTGCCACAGTTGTGCTATGGTATTTTGAAGTCAGAAGTCAACTGCCAGTTAATAGACTTTCTACCATATGAGTACACATTACTCAGTGTACACCACGTGGAGGTAAGTCTATTTTACACCCCTCGTCTCTAATTAAAGATTATTTGCCTTTCGTATTAGCTGCCAAATTTCAAACATTGTCCAAATTAAAATTTACTTAGTTCATATTAACAATTGTTTATTAATTGTACTTGAAATATTTTCTACAAAAGAAATATCAAAGTTCAGCCTACAGGTAGGAAGATTCATTTCGATTTCTTCATAGTTGACCTTATTTAATTTGTGCGTTCTATGGCTTTTGTATATAGTCTTAATGACATCGATCTGCTTCGATTTTCGCTTTCACGTGATCTGAATTGCACTGAAAATATAAGCCATGCCGAAGCGCAAATATGAAAAAGATACAGCGGAATTCGCTAATGCATCCAAACGAAGACGACTTCAACGTAGGCCTTCTAGTAGATTTTCAGTCGACCTCGATGCATCCCCGCAACAATCAGAACCAGAGCAATATCATTCAGCTATGGAAGGCCAAGCTGCGGAGAATACAAATGTAGCTTTGGGCACTCCCAACTCTAGGCGAAGTCGTTTTGGCATTATAACGAGGTCGGAAATCAGTTCTTGTCCTTCTGAACAGACTCAAGTTGTAAATAACGATCTAGAAAAGGAATCAACTATACATGTTCCAGAGATAATAGTCATTTCTTCCGACTCTGAAGTGAATGGACCTCCCGTCTCTAGTAGAACTCGAAGTCGAGTGCGCCGAGCTAGAAGGAGAAGAGCATCACGTGTTCCTCAGGATACCGAAACAACACCAGAAGCCCCACAAAGGAGTCAGGGTAGCCTAATGGAGAACACTTTGCCTCCAGAGGCCAACCAAGAGTCATCGGTTTTGAACTCTCAACTGCAATCGGATTCCATGGCGCCTGAAGTTTTAAGGTTAAGTGAACCATTAATGGAGCCACCACAAACACAGGAGAGTGAATCTACGATTCCATGTGTAGGAATGACATCACCAGTACTTCCAGAACAAAGTGAAATGATCCCAGGGAGTTCAAGAGATCGTCAAAATCTGATTGAATCCGAAGTTACTCCGACGGCTTCAAATCCAGGCCCATCAATTCGCAAAAGGAAAGCTCGAAAGCGTGCTCCACTTTCACCCCTTTCGTTACAACGAGCAGCTCTGGCTCAGTTAGCGAAAAAAACTTCATGTAAACGTTTGTTAGAACTGTTAGAACAATTTAATGCCTCTTGGAACGCAGCACGAGAAATCTCGGGAAATATGGAAAATGGAGAAGGTGTACCGGGCTGCGATCTTACGGGAAAATCGAGATTAGAAATTGTGGATATGTTTGCAAACATAGTATTTACAATTTTTATGGCTTCGTCCGCAATATATACTGATCTGGAGGCAGGATCTAATCCATTGCGCACTTATAGATCAGAAATATTAGACTTATTAGAAAATATCGTGAAATTCCCATTCGCTCCCTTTACAGATGGATGCAGCAATAAACTTTGGGACGCACTAGAGAAACTTCATGAAATTCTTCTAAAGGAATCAAGTACTTTATATGATATGGTACGGAGGAATTCTGATTAATGGCCACTATTATAGATGCATGAGAAGTTTATAGAATTTGCTAATAAATTGATGCGGAGGTGCGGATTTTGTTGCGGTCGCAGTTACAAGTCAATTCCAACAATCTACTGCAAGTGCTCTTTTTATTGCAGCATTAAACCAAATGAAAAATACTACGCGCACTCTTGTGAGTAAGTTGGTTTAAATATATATTTATCCTTTATTATTATATTCATTTAGGGGGAAAGTCTTCGCCTTGCACTTGGAATGCTATAATAACTTTAGAAGCAGTCAAAAGGAGGAACTAACGCCTATTCAGTAAGAATTCGCACATATATATTCAGAAGTGCCAAGGTGTTTCATTTAACTTATTATGCATAATTCATTCCAAATAGGGCGGCATATTTCAATCTATGCACCGACTGTTATGAGGGCTTAAGATCGGATAATAAAAGTTTTAAAAAGGTGGATAATAACATTGCATACGAGGAAGAGCGTATTAAGTGCTCCCGATGCCGTAGAGAGTGGCATAAGTATTGCGCGTTGCATGTGAAGGAATTTGAAAAAACTGCTTTCATCTGCCCCCCGTGTCGACAAAAGTTGGGAATTTGCACTACCCCAAATCTCTACGACAGTGCCAGGTGGCCAAAGTGTGAGTTGAGCCAATTTATTGAGCGCAAGGTGAACGAATTCTTAGAAAGCAAAGAAGTGCCTTATAGTGAAGTGATTATTCGAGTTCTCTCTGACTCTACCTCAAAATACGAACTCAACGCGAATGCAAACCTGAAGTTTTATGAAACTGCAAGGAGTTTTAACTATCGCGAGAAGGGTATCTTCGCCTTTCAAAAATGTTCTGACAGTAACTATGTGTGCTTTTTCGGATTCTATGTTCAAGAATATGGACAGGACTCCGCGGAGCCGAATCGAGATCGAGTCTACCTTTCATACTTGGATAGTGTTCCCTACTTTAAACCCAAGAACTTGCGAACCGGTGTCTACCATGAAATTCTATGTGCTTACATGGAATATGTCAAAATGCTGAATTTTAAAGCCGTTCACTTGTGGGCTAGCCCCCCAGTAGATGATATTGAGTACATTTTTAATAATCATCCCCCCAGTCAACGAATGCCTAATGTTGCAAGACTGGTGCAATGGTACAAAAGCATGGTGGATCAAGCTATAGAGCGCGGCATCGTTTTAAGAGATTATACCCTCAAAGAGTATGTGACGAAATATTGTAATATGCCCCCAACTTGTCTCCCTTACTTCAAAGGTGATCACTGGCCAAATAGGGTGGTTGAGATTATGAAGGTAAGCACCTTAACACCGTTGCTGTGGTAATTTAAGTTACTATATATATATAAGGTAAAAATAGATTTTTAGGTGTCAGCAATTGTTTCGCAGCTAGGAGAGAGCATATGATGGCTTATTTACATATCCCTAAAAGTTTTTCTAAATTTGCCTTTCCAATCTGTGGAAGTCACTATTCAGATTGACCTGTGTATCTGCTTTATTTCACCTTTATGATTATATACTCTACCATTTTAGTATTATATAAAAATCGTCAATT